CTCCCTCTCTTACGTTTCTCTCTCTCTCTCTCTGTTCTCTCTCCATCTGTCTCTCTCTCTCACTTTCTCTGCTCGCTCTCTTTCTCGTGCCCCCCCTCTTCTCCTCTCTTCTCGCCCCTCTGCTTCTCTCCTATTTCTCGCCCCTCTCGTCTCCTCTCTCTCTGCCCCCCCCCTCTCTCCTCTCTCTCTGACCCCCCCTGCTTCTATTTCTTTCTCCTCTCTCTGCGCCCCTCCCTCTCTCTCTTCCTCTCTCCCCTCTCCCCTCTCTCTCTCCTTCTCCTTCTCTCTCGGCCCCCCCCCCCCCCCTAACTCCTCTTCTCTCCCGTTGCCCTCTCCTTCTCTCTCTCTCTCTCTTTGCCCCCCTCTCTCTCTCTCTCTCTCTTCTCTGCCCCCTCTCTCTCTCTCTCTCTCTGCCCGCCCCCCTCCTCTCTCTTCTCTCCCCCCCCCCCCCGTCTTCTTCTCTCCTCTCCCTCCCTTTTTTCTCCTTTCTCTTGCCCCCCCCTCTCTTCCTCTTCTCTCTTCTGCCCCCCCCCCTCTCCCTTCTCATCTCTCTGCCCCCCCCCCCCCCCCTCTCTCTCTCTTCTCCCCCACCCCGCTCTCTCTCTCTCTCTCCCCCTCTCTCTCTCTCTCTGCCCCCTCCTCTCTCTCTCTTCTGCCCCCCCCGTCTCTCTCTCTCTCGCCCCCCCCTCTCTCTCTCTCCCCCCCCCCTCTCTCTCTCTCTCTGCCCCCCCCACTCTCTCTCTCCTGCCCCCCCCCTCTCTCTCTTCTCTTCTCTCTCTCTCTCTGCCCCCCTCTCTTCTCTCTCTCTCTCCCCCCCCTCCCCTCTCTCTGCCCCCCCTCTCTCTCTCTCTCTCTGCCCCCCCCCCTCTCTCTCTCTCTCTGCCCCCCCCCTCTCTCTCTCTCTGCCCCCCCCCCTCTCTCTCTCTCTTCCCCCCCCCTCTCTCTCTCTCTGCCCCTTCTCTCTCTCTCTCTCTCTGCCCCCCCCCCTCTCTCTCTCTCTCTCTGCCCCCCCCCTCCTCTCTCTCTCTCCCCTCTCTCTCTCTCTCTGCCCCCCCCTCTCTCTCTCTCTCTCTCTCTCTCTCTCTCTCTCTCTCTCTCTCTCTCTCTCTCTCTGCCCCTCTCTCTCTCTCTCTGTGTCTGCCCCTCCTCTCTCTCTTGTCTGCCCCTCCTCTCTCTCTCTCTTGCCCCTCTCTCTCTCTCTCTCTCTGCCCCTTCTCTGCCCTCTCTCTCTGTGTCCTTCTCTATGTCCCTCTCTCTCTCTCTGTACTTCTTTCTGTCCCTCTCCCTCTTCCTCTCTTCCTCTTCTCTCTCTCTCTCTCTCTCTCTCTCTCTCTCTCTCTCTCTCTCTCTCTCTCTCTCTCTCTCTCCCACTGCGTATCACTCGACCTCACCAAATGACCCACTCACTCACTAACTGCGTATCAATCATTCATGCGCTCCTTCTCTTTCCCTCTACTACCCTTTTTCTCTCTCTCTCTCCGTCATACATCTGCCCCTCGCTCTCGCACGTATCCTCTTCTCCCACTCCATTCCCCACTCGTTTTCCCCCGCTGCATCTGTCCCAAAATAACAACGCGTAAATCACAACAAATTCTCCTTCGCCCAAACGGTCGCCAAATCCAACCCCAAACACGTCCATAATCCCCTTTTAACAATTCCAACCTAATCCCCCGTGGTCCCTCTACGGCATAACGGCTGTAGCTTGACCCAGGTGTCGGCAGATAGTGATGATGATGATGATGATGATGTTAATGGTGATGATCCTACGCTTTATTTCCCAACATTATTTTTACATTAATCCCTCATATGCATCTGAAATTGGCTGCTTTCTGGCGCATCATTTGCCCAACCCGGCGGGAGCACTTTGCCTAATTTGTACCCAGATAGGACTGGAGTATGTAAATGATATTTGCTCCAGAATAAAGTGCGGCGGTTCGTGGGTAGTTGATACCGGGCGAAAGGGCCGGCAGGGGAGAAAAACGGCGGAAGCGGAGAAGATTTAGATTTAGATTTAAAGATTTAAAATTTAGTTTTAATTTCATTGTTACAATGGATATTCTTTGCTGTGACATACTGTCTGTTTTATTTTGCCCAAATCCCCCCCCCCCCCTGTGTGCAAGGAATGGCCGGGGTTACCATTCACTGGCCGAGCGTGGGATTGAACGCAGGTCTGCAAGATTGCTAGACGAACGAAGGGAACGCTCAGGAAAGAGTCGACAAACAGGGATGAGAGAAATGAAAGATAAATTAAAAGAGGACGAATAGCAAACGAATGAATGGAATGGAGGTGAGATAAAATACATTCACTTGGTAAGATCTTAACGACGTAACAGGTAATGCAATTTCGGTCTGCTGGTTGGCACTTTAGCTCAATTTATTTGTCGTTAATTTCCGATTTCGCTAATAATCATCTGATCTTGGTTTGGTTCAGAATCGCTCACTGCGATAAAAGATCAAATTACATGCAAAAGTGTTCTCCTCATCTTCAATACGCCTTGTAGAAAAAAACGTATGTTACGAAATAAGTAAATCTCGCCCCCGAATTCTAGCTTAACCAATTCAAAACATAAAAACACAAACAAGAAGTTCCCAGAATAGAACTCAGAATGGCACAATGCACAAAGCTAACATTGCGATGGAAAAAGACGAAACAGTTGTTATTCTGAGCTGGAGGTGCCCGTCATCGGCAGCTCAGTGGATGGAGTCTCACCATCGATGGTGCCACAGGCCAGCTGCCGATCTCATAGCGCAGATAGAGCTATAAATTTCCACTGTACCTGATAGATGACTTTATAACAGTACCAGTCGTATAGCTAAGCGCTGGGTCCCGATGCGTCGAAAATTGGATGACGGGATTCCAGCACGTCATTTAACGTTGGGAAGAAGAGAGAGGTGCACCGCGTCCGGACTCTACAAACTATGTTGACTTAAGTTCTGTGAACTTTAGCAGCTGAAACGCCTTTAACGATTGAG